CTCCCGGGAGGTCACCATATTGATGCCAAATTTGATGTGGACACCCAATCGGCATAGTGCAGTACAGCCCAGAACTCTTGGGCTCAAGCAATCTCCAGCCTCAGTCTCCTGAGTAGCTGGGACTACAGGCACACTGCCACCACGCCCGGTGGGAAAGAAGCTTTCTGCGAGCGTGTTCCAGACCCTGGATAGAGGGAAACAAATCAGTCTCAGCCTGACTCAGGACCCTGCTTTACAAACCTCATTCCCACCTTCAAGTCACAGCATTTCACAGCCCCAGATAACACTCCACAGATTGTGTTAGAATTTTATTCATTCTCCCCTGCATCCACAGCTCGGTAACTACACGAGAGGAGGAAAGAGGGAGGGCACCGATTTGGGTGGTAGAAACGGTGTGTCGAAGCTTCCCTCTCGCCTTTGCTACTCTTAGAGAGGCCTGGGGGCCACCAGCACGTGCCCCAGCGAATGCTGCTGGGCTCTGGTTCCACATGTCTGATCAGGCCACGGGGTGGGGCCATAGCACAGCCTGTGGCCTTGACCCAGTGGGTTTGGCCTGTTTGAGGCCATCGTTGGAGGGTTCAGGCAGGCAGAACTCTCCATTCCTGGGAGACAGTTCTGGAGACCGGCTGTGCCACTCCGCCGAGTGCCCATCCCTGGATCCAGTTCTCTTCGAGGAAGGAAATCTGCCACTGTTTTGTTGAACTTCCCAAGGGCTCCCATCACTAATAATTCTGGGAATTCCGCAAAGCACCCCTTTGCAAGCTGTGCCCGTGCCTTTGGCTGGCATTCTCGGGATCTGCCTTCCTTCACCAGGTAGCTGCGTTGGCAGACAGCAATGTCCTCATTTCTGCTAAGGATTTGCCTGGTCTTTTTCTGGAGTTATACTCTATCTCTACCTACCTCTTCCTATGCGGCCAGCCCCTGTATGCATCTCCCCTTTGCTGGTGGCCCCAGGCCACGGTCTAGCCAGTGCTGTGCAGTGGAACTTTGTGCAGCAATGGTCATGTCTATTCTGCACTGACCCATGTGGCAGCCATTAGTCATGTGTGGCCACTGGGCATCTGGAATGTGGCTGGTGCAACTGAGGAACTGAATTCTTCATTTTATTTGATTTCAATTCCGTGTCATGCAGTGCGTGGCCACCAGATTGAACAAGGTCAGATCTGTCTCCCTTCTTCCCACTTTCCTCTTTGGCCTGGGTTGGACCGCTTTTGCCCAGGCTTGTCCTGTACCTCTCTCTGTTGACAGTGGCTTCCAAAGAGGCTGACGCAGAGCACTCATCTCTTCTGCCTAATCCATGTCCTCCTACTCCCTGACCTGACCCCGTGCCACCTTCTGGCTCTGCCGGCCTCTGTCTGGTTCCTGTGGTTGCAGCACATGGCCTCCCTTTCCTGGCATAGCCAGCTTCCTTCAGGGGTCCTGCCAGGAAGTGCCCCTCCCATCATTCCCAGCTTGCCTCTGTCCCTCCACTCTGGGGTGCCTGGGAGGACTGTTCAGGACCCAGAGGGCAGGCAGAGTCCTGGATTCCTATTCTGGAATCCTGCACCAGGATGGAGGAGCTCTGCCTGCCTGAACCCTCCAACGATGGGCCTGGAGTTCTGTCCCTGCCCTTTCCTTAATCCACAATTGGGTCCTCAGGCTCCAGCTCTTCCAGTCACCCCAGCCTTGCCCACCCTCGCCCCATTCAGAAACTAGGTTCACTGGGAAACTGCTCCCTCAGCACCTGTAGAACTTCTTCAAGAAGTGAAATCCCCAGGTCCACTTTGAAGGAGAGGAAGGGATCACTGAGGTCCGGGACAGGTGTCCTCTGGAAGCAGGGAGTGTCCACAAGCCCGTCCTCTGAGTGCTGGTGGAGGGCGCTCGCCAGGGAGAGCGCCGATGGCAGGGTGGCCGAGTAGGCCGCTGTGTAGGCAGGTGGGGGCTCCAGGATGTTGGGACAGCTTGAGCTCTCTCGGTAGAGGCGTGGGGGCTTGGGTGGGGCCAGCAGCGTGGCCCGGGGCTGCTCGTCACCCCACAGTGGCAGACGCCGGCCATCTGGCCTCCCTTGGAGCTCCCGGATGACTTCTCGGTTGCTATACTCCTCGTGGTCCCCACCCGCCGTGCTGGCCTGGCTAAGCACACTGCCCTGTCGCCGGAGCCGCCGTGGCCTCCCCAGGCTCAGCCGCTTGAAGAAGGAGGTATTGCGGAAGGAGCCTTTCCGCCAGGTTTCCATGGGGCCCAGGGCAGCCAGCAGACAGGCATTCAGGAGCACCCAGGATAGCATGCAGTCCCTTCCGGGGCAGTGAGTGCCAGCAGTCGGAGAGGCTCCCCTACGAACAGAGGCCTCGGGGTTTCTGCTTAGCACAGACCTTTGGTTGCATCTTGGTTGGTGAGAGGAGGGCTCAGGAAGAAGGAGCTTTTTTGTCCAGGAGGGCAGAGAGCTGGGAGTTCCTGACAGCAAGAGTTTCCCACAGGGACAGGAGTGGCCTGGTTACTGGATAGGGCAGTGGAAAAAACCCCAGGAGGAAGAAGCAGCACTTACTGGAGCCTGAGTGAGGGCAGCCCCGGTGGAGGCAGAGATAGACGTTCTTGGGCTGGGCGAGGCTGGTGAGCGCTCCTTTCACAGGCAGGCAGCAGATGGCCCGAGCTCACTCACCCTGGCGTTTGCCTGGCTCCTCTGCTCTCCGGGGGCAGTGTGGGGCCGTGCTCTCTCTGCCGGCGGCTCCTGGACTCTGATGAGTGGCTTGGCTGTTTGTGGCAGTGTGTGGTGGTGGAGATGTGTTTTTGTTCTCAGCTGACTCAGTCAGGTAGGAAGCTGGGTTTCGTGCTCCTGGGTAATTGCAGCATCCGCGTGCAGGGATGGGGCAGCTGTGACCAACACCCCAGGGCAATGGAGAGCTTAAGATTCCTTTGTGGGGGCAGCCCTGCATTATGTGCCACCTCGCGGCTTCCTTTCTCATCACATCCCCACCACCCCGGGCCCCAGCAGGTGGGCCTGGCTCCTGGCCCACAGTGTCTGGGTGGGAGTGAGGGAGGTGTAGTTAATTGAAAGGCAGTCTTGTGGAGCGACTATGGGGAAGGAAGAGACCTGTGGCTGGTATGGGTGACTCAGCCCCGCTGTCAGGCCCTCATGAGCAGAACCTGCACGATGAGGGAAGGAGGCAGAGGGCGTGTTAATGGGGAGCAGCCCATGCCTATGACGGGCTCTGCCGCAGAGCGTTGGGCTGGGGGCCTGCCAAGGGTGGCTCCAAGTGTTCTTGGCAGAGCAACATTAACCTGGGGACGGGAGACGTGGCCTCCGCTTGGCTGCTGTTTTCTCATCCTCCCTTGTTTTGCCCTAGTGGCCTCCTGGCAGGAGAGCGACAGCTGAGGGCTGTGCTGCCTCCTACCTGGCTGTGCTCCAGCCCCTCCCCTCTGGCTACCGGGCCTCCTCTGGGGTCCTCCTTCTCTTGCAGGGCTGGGTCAGAGGCGGCTGTGAATTGTCAGCTGTGCTCTAGGCCAGGCTTAGCCATCCAGCCTGGAGGGGACTGCTGCAGCCAGGGAGAGGGGAGACGTGCAGCTGTCGGGAGGAGCAGGGGAACTCAGGCTTGAGTAATACTTCCTGTTTCTGTACACCCCTTACCCCAAACCTGCTGGCCAGGGCCTGGCATCTCAATCCGAGCCACTCCCTGCCTATTCCCCGGGTCACTGACCACCAGAGTTTCCTCCTGCCTGGTTCCGTAAGAGCGCCCCTGTGCAGCGTAGCTTGGATCAGGGCCCCACAGCTCTCTGCTACGGGCAGGCCACTGCATCTTGCAACCCCTGGCGTGGCTCATTTCTGTGCCAAGTCAGGCGGGCTTCACACTTCTCTGCGAAACTGTTGGGATCACATGATCACCACACAGCCTAAAGGTCGCTGAGGGAGGCAGGGGTTTAATTCCCACCACAGACCTTGTCGGGGCGTGGGTTGGCTGCTTAGGCCCCTCTGCAGAGCTGCTTCTCCACCCTCCAGCCTTGGCCCATTGAGGCATTTGTTTATTATTCTTTTGATTATTTAAATACCGCATTCCTTAATCTCTGCACTGTGCTGGCAAGTTCATAAAAGCTTTGAGCCATGGGCCCTGCCCTCCAGGAGCCCTTGTGTGTATTTTTAGAGGCATGGTGGCCTCTCTCTCCTTCTAGGGTGGGGCATTCCACGCTGTCTCCAGCAGGGCTCCCTTCTGCATCCTCAGCAGGAGCCGGACCACAGGGCACCAGGCATGAACAGTGCCAGGCTGTGTGCCCAGCAGAGCCAAGTGCATCCCTGCACCTCAGACAGCTTCCCTTCCTTGGGAGCCTGAGAGAGGCAGACGCCATGGCATAGAGGGAAGAAGTGAAGGATAAAGGGCTCAGAGGAAATGAGGGGGAACAAGGGCCTGGCTAGAGGGTCCGCAGGTGATTCCTGAGGACGGACTGGAGATGGACGGAGCTGACAAGGCCTGGGGAAAGGGAGGAGAGCTGGCTGGGGAGCAGCCAGCTGGGGGCCGAAGGTGGCTTGTTCTGGAGGACACAGGATTCCAGAAGGATGTTCTGGGTTCCTTCCCTTCCTCTGCCCTCCTCCCTCCAAGACTCTTAGACCACAGCTTTGCCTCAGCACCATCCTCAGAGTCTAGAGTCTGTGGGGCTGTGCCCTGCTGTCCCTGACCCCTCCTGTCCCTGCTCTGTCCGCCAGGGCTCAGTGGTGTCGGACAGGGACTATGAGAGCCTCGTCATGATGCGCATGCGCCAGGCTGCTGAGCGGCAACAGCTGATCGCACGGATGCAGCGGGAAGACCAGGAGGGGCCGCCCACGTAGCCCCAGCTCTTCACCCGCCCACCAGCCCTTTTCTTCAGTGTCACCAATAAAAGTTTTTTGTTTTTTTTTTAAAGACTCTACCTCTATTCCATACATAGGTATAGGGTGCTGGGCTCTGCCACAGAGGGCTCCACCCAGGCAACCCTCCCAGGAAGTGGGCAGACCCCCAGGGAAACACTCCACACGGTAAGAGTCCGAGAGTCTGTGCACAAGCAGAGCACAGGCGCAAACACTCATCACAGTCCTTTATTGGCTTGGGCTAGCTATGCAGGAGCCACACGCCAGGGGCCCTGGGGTGCCCAGCTCCGGCCCGGGAAGCTGCCCGAGGACATGGCCTACCCAGTGCCCTCCGCTCAGGCCCAAAGCAGCAGGGCAGCTGGGAGCACCAGGGCAACGGGCCCTGCCCTCTCCCACTGTTTGAGGCAGGGTTTCATAGAAGGCCATTCACCGCCCCTTGAGGCTGGGCAGATGGCAGTGACGATTTGGGAAGACAGGGGCAAGGCAGTTGGTGAGGCCGGAGCTTGGAGGTCAGGGCCCACAGCAGCCCATCCACAGGGGCGCCCCGGCTGCAGATCAGTGTGAGAAGGTCACTCCTTGTGCAGGCACCACACCAGCGTCTGGCCCACCCCCGTCATGCTCAGCACACGGAAGCCCCTGCGTTCCAGCTTGTCCAGGACTATGCGGGGAGGGTCATTGACATAGTATTCATAACTGCAAAGAGACAGGTGGGCAGGGTGAGGGGGCACACAGCAAGCTCCTGGTACAAAGCTAGTGTGAGCTGCAGGTGGCCTGGCCGCTCTGGCAGCGATTCGCTAGCTGGCTGCTTGCTGGATGCCAGGGCAAGTGCACAGCCTGACCTCCTCCACTGCTAGGTACTTCACAACAAGCTAGTGAAGGTGCCACTGTTGTGGTCATTGGTACGTGAGAAAACGGAGTGGTTAAGCAGGTTCCCCAGTGTCCCAGATGGTAGACACGTGTTAGCTTGGCAACCGCCCTGCACACTCAGCGGGTCCAGAGTACTGCCTGCCCTTCTGGGCTTGCTCCCCACCCAGGCCTCCAGGCCCCTCACTACCCTGATGTCCTATAGTTCTGGAGTAAGGAGCCTGAGCCCCAGCTGCTCCTGGCCCTGTGTGCCACTCCCTAGTGTGGAGAATACTGGTAGTCCTTCTTTCAGGTTTAATTGATGCTGAAGGACCATGAAGCAGACAGAGGACTCAAGGCCCAAGCTGGGCATGGAGAGGCAAGTGCCTCATGGCAAAGGGAGGGGGCTGCCTTCTGCCCCTGAGCGTTGACCCAGGGACTGGGATAAGCCCGCCTTCTCTTTCCCCCCTTTGAACTGGGACTCACTCTGGCAACTCTTCCCGGAGAACCTGTGTAGCCTGGGTTCTCCCTACGTCCAGGGGTGAGAAGACAAATGGAAGCAGTGGTCACAGTTTAGACATGGAGACATTACAAAGGATGCCAAGGGAAGTGGCCAAGTCCCCAGGCAGCAGCCACCCTGGAGACAGGACCCAGGCTCCCTGCTCCCTGTTTGTAGGGCTTAGCTTTGTGACTCAGCCAGATCCTCATGACAAAATCCTTTCTCTGTGTGCCTGTCTGTGCTTGATGGGGTCCAGCTTAGAGAGGAGAGGGCAGGGCAAGGTACAGTCCATTAGTGGAGTCCTAGACCCAGGGAACAGACTGTTTCTGCAGTTCCAGTAAGGATGTGGAAAGCTTTCAGAGCAAGCCTCATGAGGGAGAGGGTGGTGTTGGAGATGCTACAGATAGGACCAGCTCCTCTGGAGGACAGAGCTCCAGGATGCAGGCAGTGGGGCTCTGATGCTGGGGCCTGTCCCTGGGCTTGGAGGTTTCATAAAGGGAGCAGGTCTAGGGGCTGGCAGGGAGAGGATACTGAGTGAGGCTGCTACTTACAAGTTGTTTCCTAGGACACTTCTCTTTGAAGCCCCCAGATGCTGCATCAGCTCTGGATCCGACTGTTCATCACCCACCATAGTGGGGCCCACCTCCTGCAAGGTAAGCCACAAGGTTGCTTGGCTGGCTGCCAGGAGGAGGTGGAAGGTCTTGCCTCTCCTTCCTCCTCTGCCTGCTAGCCCTGAGAGCCTCACATAAAGGCTGGAGAGAGTAGTGAGGATTCTTAGGGGCCAGATATAAATTGTGAAGGGATGGAGCCCATCAGTGATCAGGAGGAGCAACGTAGGGGCCTCCCTAGATCCTTAAAGCTCAGCTTTAGCAGGGCAAAGTGGCTTGAGCCTATAGTCCCAGCTACTCATGAGGCTGAGGTGGGAGGATCGTTTGGGCCCTGGAGGTTGAGGTTGCAGTGAGCCATGATAGAGCCACTGCACTCCAGCCTGGGCCTATTTCAAAACAAAACAGAACAAATAAACATCATGTAAATGAAAGAAGCCAGACACAGATCACATTACCACAGAAAGGGGATTAGTGGTTGTCTAGAGCTAAGGGACTTGGAGAAAATCACGAGTGTCTGTGAGGGGGTACAGGCTTTCCTTTTTTTTTGTTTGTCTTTCTTTTTACCCAGGCTGGAGTGCAATGGCGCAATCTCGGCTCACCGCAACCTCCGCCTCCTGGGTTCAGGCAATTCTCCTGCCTCAGCCTCCTGAGTAGCTGGGATTACAGGCACGCGCCACCATGCCCAGCTAATTTTTCGTATTTTTAGTAGAGACGGGGTTTCACTGTGTTGACCAGGATGGTCTCGATCTCTTGACCTCGTGATCCACCCGCCTCGGCCTCCCAAAGTGCTGGGATTACAAGCGTGAGCCACCGCGCCCGGCCAGGTTTTCCTTTTGGGGTATTAGAAATGTTCTAAAACTCATGGTGATGGTTGCACAACTCTGAGTACTCTAAAAAACAACACTGAGCTGTACACTTTAAATCAATGAATTTATGGTATGCACATTACATATCAATAAAGCCTTATCTTTTAAAAAATAAGAATCACTTGGGGGGGACATTTCCAAGTATGAATTCCCAAGCCCCATACATAGCATTTTGGGAGGTCTGAAAAGGGACCCAGCAATCCACATTTTGACAACTGCACAGATGACTGCTTCACAAACCGCTGCCCAGGGCTCTGCTAGAGCGCTTTCGTCGCTGGTGAACCCACCAGGGGGCTGTGTGCCCTCTGCTGGCTCACCATGGCACTGGACAGTGGGCAGGGGCAGAGGAGCACCTTGCTGCCCATATGGGCGGCATAGTAATGTCTTTTGAAGTTAAAAGGGGACTCCTGGAGGGCAATCAGAACCTTTTTACAGATAAGGAAACTGCACCCACAGAAAGAAAGGTGACTTCTGACTCATGGTGTTCCCACCTCTAACTGCACCACCCCTTCTCACCTGCCTTCCTTTCTCCCCAAGCAGGGAGTTTTCTTTTCTTCCTTCCCTAAAGCTTCAGGGACAGCCCTTCCTGGCCGTGCCTAAGGGTGCAGCTAGTGGCTGTGTATGGGTCAAGGACTTGGCACAGGGGTTTTAGCGCCTTGGCACGTCCTTATCTTTTCCAAACCTCTTTCCCTCAGGTTATTTCACTTTTTTTCCCATGTGTAGCAGCTCCGTGCAGGGCACTGGGCTCCCTGGGTCCCTCCCGCCGACAGGTAGAATAGGAGCCAGAAGTGCCCGCAGGTCGCTCTCTCACCGGGGCACACGTACCGGGGCCCCTTCGCGGCCACAGAGGCTCCGGGCGGGCCAGAGCTCGCTGAGTCCTGGGAGCCGGGCTGAGCCCGCTTCCCCACTCCTTCTCCCAGGCCGAGGGGGCGTGGCCGGGCGGGTTCGCGGTCCAGCCCCAGGTGGGCACAGCCCAGGAGGGAGGCGTGCAGGCGCGGTCGCAGACCCCTAGGGCCTGGTCCCGGCTCCAAGTCGCCGGGCGGCCAGTACTCACCATGCGGATCTGGGTGCTGATGAGGAGGTAAGGCATGGTGCGCGCGTCCCGGCCAGGCTCCCACCAGGTGGCTCTCTGCTGGGCACCGACTCCAGCCCTGCTCTCGTCGGGACTGCGACGCGCCGCTGGGAGTCCCGTTACTCTGGCTCTGGCCACAGGCGGCGTCAATCCCCTAGCGCCTGGCCCGTGACCGCCGCGGTCGCCAATCAGGAGCGGCTGCCGTGACGCGCCCTGCAGTCTGCTGCTCGGGGCCCGCCCCCGCCCTCCCCGCGGCGGACTTGGACCCCGGGGCCCACCTGAGGCTTCCGCCGAGTGGTCCAGTCGCGGAAAGGTACGGTGTGGGGAGGAGGGGGATGGTCCCACGCCTGGAGGCGGAGGTGGCCCAGCAGAGTCGACTGGCTGCGCCCCTTCTTGCAACACTGCAGGTCAGGTTCCAAAGTCCCTGCCAGGCAGATCCCAGAGCAAACGGCGTCCTCGCGGAAGCCTCTCCAGGCCCCAGCCCACCCCTCCGAGACGCCTCAACACCTTCAGCGGGGCCCGACTTCCCCTCGCCACGACACGCAATGCAGAGAATCCTTAAGCGCTGAGGAGGCCGGGGCAGGAGGCTCGGCGCGCGCCCTGAAGGCTACAACTAAAATACCACCGGGCGCACTGCGCATTCCCGCCTCCCAGACTCTGATTCCAGTACAGCGGCAGATCCTTGCATTTCTGCAGACCGACAGGAAAATCTATCAAGGAACTTCACCCTTGGCTGGGTGCCAGGTCTGGAGTGACGGAATGGTTGGAACCTGGCCCTCCCTACCCGGAGCTTCCCGCGCAGCTGGACAGACGCTGCGCACGCGCAGGAGGTCACTGGGCAACACCTGAAGCTAATGAAGCAACTTCCCCGGCACCAGCCACCAGTGAGCCGGCTGCGAGTTTCCAACCGTGCGTCCACGCCCTCATTCGCAGGTATCAAAATCTGACAACTCATCATTCTTTATCTGCGTTGTTGTGATTGGTTCTCTAGAAAACAAAACGAAACAAAAACAGCCTGTATGTAGCTGTAGCCTTCCCTCCCGTGGGATGATAAAAATCTTCGCTTTTTAACGGGGAGGCGGTCATTTATAGGGGATACTGCTCTTGGAACACTTTGAAGACGTGGAGAAAGCTATAAGGGAAGTAGGAAGTTGTAACCCTAAAGGTCCCTTAACTAGTTTAATTCTGTAGTTCCTACCCCTGCCCTGTTACCCACGGGACTAACAGGTTACCCAGAGAGATAAAACACATTCATGCTTAACAAAGGATGTGTTGCTGGGCCCGGTGGCTCACGCCTGTAATCCCAGCACTTTGGGAGGCTGAGACGGGTGGATCACGAGGTCCTGAGTTCGAGACCAGTCTGGCCAAATAGCTAAAACCCGTCTCTACTAAAATTACAAAAAATAGCTGGGTGTGGTGGTGGGCACCTGTAATCCCAGCAACTCGGGAGGCTGAGGCAGGAGAATCGCTTGAACCCAGGAGGTGGAGTTTGCAGTGAGCTGAGATTGTACCATTGCACTCCAGCCTGAGCAACAAGAGCAAGACTCCATCTCAAAAAAACAAACAACAACAAAAAAGCAAAACAAACAAACAAAAGGGATGTGTTAAAACTGACAAAAGATTCAGGAAAATTGGTGCTCAGTTAAAAAAATAAAAGTCACAAAAGATTAATGTCCAGGAACACCTGCAACTCAGTGAGAAAAAAAATGAATAATAGAAAAAACAGGGGTAACTGACTTGAATAGGCCCTTCATAAATAGAAATGACCAATAATTAATTGGAACCGAGTCAAAAAAAAAAAAAAAAAACAGGCCGGGAGCAGTTGGGAGGTCGAGGCGGGTAGATCACAAGGTCAAGAGATCGAGACCATCCTGGCCAACATGGTGAAACCCTGTCTCTACTCAAAAATACAAAAATTAGCTGGGTGTAGTGGCGCGCCCCTGTAGTCCCAGCTACTTGGGAGGCTGAGGCAGGAGAATTGCTTGAACCTGGGAGTCGGAGGTTGCAGTGAGACGTGATCGTGCCACTGCACTCCAGCCTGGCGCCTGGTGGCAGAGCCAGACTCTGTCTCAAAAAAAAAAAGAAAACAAAAATGACCAATAAACATATAACATGATGCCCAGTATACCATTAGAAATCCAGGAAATGCAAATTAAACTAAATTTCACTTTTCTTTCTTTCTTTCTTTCTTTTTTTTTGAGACAGAATCTTACTCTGTCACCAGGCTGGAGTGCAGTGGCACGATCTTGGCTCACTGCAACCTCTGCTTCCCGGGTTCAAGCAATTCTCCTGCCTCAGCATCCTGATTATCTGGGATTAAAAGCACACCACTATGCCCAGCTAATTTTTGTGTTTTTAGTAGAGACGGGGTTTCACCATGTTGGCCATGATGGTCTCGATCTCCTGACCTTGTGATCTGCCCACCTCAGCCTCCAAAGTGCTGGGATTACAGGCATAAGCCACCACTCCAGGCACTTGTTTTCATTTTAACCAAATTTACTTAAACTACAAGACTTTGTAGACACAGTGGCTCACACCTGTAATCTCAGCACTTTAAGAAGCCAAGGCAGGCGGGTCGCTTGAGCCCAGAAGGTCGAGGCTGCAGTGAGCCGTGATTCACTAGGTTTCTTTGTGAGTAATTTATCTTTACTTAAAGACAGGTTACCCTCCATGTAAAAGCTATGTACAAAAAAGTTATACTCTATTGAGTAGAAGGATTTTTTTTTGTTATGCAACTGTCCTTGGTTTTTACAATGATAAATGAAAAACATTAAAATTCTTCAGTTGGGCCGGGCGCGGTGGCTCAAGCCTGTAATCCCAGCACTTTGGGAGGCCGAGGCGGGCAGATCACGAGGTCAAGAGATCGAGACCATCCTGGTCAACATGGTGAAACCTTGTCTCTACTAAAAATACAAAAAATTAGCTGGGCATGGTGGCGTGTGCCTGTAATCCCAGCTACTCAGGAGGCTGAGGCAGGAGAATTGCCTGAACCCAGGAGGCGGAGGTTGCGGTGAGCCGAGATCGCGCCATTGCACTCCAGCCTGGGTAACAAGAGCGAAACTCCGTCTCAAAAAAAAAAAAAAAAAAAAAAAAATTCTTCAGTTGAACAAAGTGTGCAAGGAGTTTTATGTTGTCGTTTTTTAGTTAAAGCATTACTGGAATATAGAGATAACAGCGTGGTGGCTCATGCCCAGCTCAGTGCTATAATCCCAGCACTTTGGGAGACTAAGGCAGGCAGATCACTTGAGGCTAAGAGTTCGAGACCAGCCTGGCCAACAGGCTAGTGAAACCCCGTCTCCACTAAAAATACAAAAATTAGCCAGCATGGTGGTGTGCACCTGTAGTCCCAGCTCCTCCAGAAGCTGAGGCAGGAGAATCTCTTTAACCTGGGAGATGGAGATTGCAGTGAGCCAAGATTGTGCCACTGCACTCCAGTGTGGGTGACCGAGCAAGACTCTGTCTCAAAAAATAAATAAAT